TGATCACACAGATGTTGCAAGAGCATGAAGTTCAGACACGTGGGGTATTTGGCTGCCCCGTAACAGCAACAATCCTTTTCTTCCCCCTTTGCCCTTACGCCCTCAGGATGCCACAAGAGCACCGAGGCCCAGCAAGAGGCTCTTCCCTGCACTCGGGAACTGCCTAGCAGACACTCGGCGTTATCTGAGTAATTAATAATAGAAGGGCTGAAGTGTTTCTTGAAGTCCAGATTAGCTGGGAGTCAGATTTATAAATACTGTAACAGAGCACGACGGAATGCTGGAGTCCAAGCAGAGTACCAGAGAGGAGGATAACACCCACCCCAAGAACCCAGCACAGATTCTTGCAGGGGTACTGCAACATCCTGGGGCATTTCCTAAGCAGGGGAAAAAAATAAAACCTCACACTTAAGCTAGAACAACAAACCCTTGAGCTGGTTTTCAGAGTAGCTGGTCGTTTTTACCTTCAAATCTCCGTGAGCTGGTGGTTCCTGTAGGATGACAGCTATTCCACGTGCACTTAGGAAAACTACAAGTAAGATTCTGCAACTCCAGGCACGCCCCGTGCACAGGGACTGAAAGAAATTCCTCCTCCAGGCCTCCCACACTCCTCTGCCCAAAACAGCAGCCAAGCAAAATAGAAGTAGTACTCAATGTGCGAAGCTGATGAACAGCATAATAGAAACACCTCTATGTACTCGTATTTCTAACTCAAGGAATCAAAGGACAATAACTGGTAAAGAAATTAAAAACCATTGTTTGTAAGAAATAGTTATTCAATAAATGTCTTTCCCGTGGCTGTAAAAAGAAAAAAAGTTATCAGTCATTTTGTCAGGCCTCTTTGCTATTATAATTCTCCAGCTCTTAAGAATTATGCAAATTCCACAGAAATAAGGAAAAAAGATACACGAATCCAACACCTTTATGCTCTTACCACAATGAGAAACTGCAAACATGAAATTCTGAGAAATAAAGAGTCCTCCCCCATGCCTCTCACTACTCTAAGGGGATTAGCTTTCTCCCCCACCTGAACACTAATAAATTAGACATACACGAAAATTTTCCAAGAAAGATTTATGCATATCATACACCTTCTGATTTTAAAAATCACTGTTCTTCCCCTTTCAGCCTACAGATCACCACCTCAGACTTTCCATTAGAAATGCAAGTACCACAGGTTTAAGCAATATCAGGCTATTCCAGAAATGCTAGTATGTACTTTCTTATTTCAGGAATTAATAAAATCTTAAGTAAAAACTGGCAGCAATTAACACGCACCACCTCCAAACAGCTACCACGTACATAGACATATACACATATAAACACACTAACTGCCTATTTATACTGCCTGAAAACTGCGTCCAAACGTTTTATCAGGGATTAGGGAAACTATCGCGATACTTGTAACCAATTAGACCAAATAAAAATCCAAGTACTGTGGCCTCTTCCAGAATCTGGGCTATCCACAAATATTCTGAACTTGAAGTATGTCATAAAAACCTTCATAACCATGGTGCTCATAATAAATGCAAATTATTGTGTTATAAAGTTATTGCACTAATTCCGTCACTGTTCCTAACTAGTGCCTATATAGAACATCTGCGTGTTCACCTGCAGTCAACCTTTTTGGGGAATGCAAGGTAGAACAAGTTGCGTTTGTATACCTTGTGAAATGTCTAATTCTCGTCCACTGAGTGATATAAAGAATTAGCTGAAAGACATTCAGGGGAGCTTATCTGAGCACAGGCAGCAAACTAAAATTCATTAAAGAAATTTCTTAAGGAAAGTTATTAAAAAGCTCCTTAAGCCAGAGTGCCTGTCTGCAGACTTGACCAAGTTCGGTATTTCAGCCTTCCTATGACTTTCCAAAGCACTAGGACTACAATCTAAATGTGGTCTTGATAACTTAGATGATTTTGAACATTATTGTTTACGATGAATGAAGGATGGAGAAAAATTCCTCAAGGTGAATTAAATATAGCGCTGTAAAAGCCTTCGGCATCCTGTCAGTGGTTAAATGCATGCATGGGAAAGCAACTTTTGGAAGAATAAGACACAATGTGCTGCTGACGCCCAGGCTCATCAGAGGGAGACACACTGGCTCACATCGGCCTCTTGGATCCATTCTGCACACGCCTAATCCTAAAACTAAACCAACTTTTTACAAGCCAGGAAAATAAGGTATAATAGCATTGGAAGCACAGACCAATGGTGTGCTTGAATCAGTGCAAAAGCAAAGAGTAACATGGAAGTTACTACAGAAATATATTGGAATGTGTTTTAGCTGTGTGTTAATTACGAAGTTCCCTTTAAGGCTGCCATTCAGGTAAAATACAGTAAATCTGGATTTGTATTCTCTCATCTCCTGAATTTTTTTTATATAAAAATACAGCTGCGTTTATGATTTAAATGGAGATCACTCATCCTGAAGGCAAACTAAGAATTCAGGAAAATACTTTTAAATTATTTTTTTTTAAAGCTGTCAAAATTTAGAACCAAAGGTGTGGATGTCTGGTTGCATACTGAGCACTGAGAAAACATGGATCCCCATGTATTTGGTTTTCAATTATTCGCCATACAAATTCTTCCCTACGTTAAAGATTTTAAGGAAATATTTGTATTACAATAGCCCATAAATAAAAAAGAAAAAACCAAAACCCACAGTTACAAATTATTACTACACGCTTCAGAATCCTTATCTATTAATAAATTTCCTACTGCATTCTCACAGTACCCCTATATTTGTGGGTTGGGTTTGATTTTTGTTAGTTTGGTTTTTGTTTGCTTGAGTTTTTTGGGGGTTTTGTTTGTCTGTTGATCAATCTCTTCTTCCCATTTCATATAAGCACCTGGCTTCTCCTCCACAGATTCAAGGAGCTATTAATCTTCCTAGGCTTGGAATAAGTCCTTGTAAAAATACCTCTCCCTTTCTTATTCTTCATTTCTCAAGTTTCATAATGTTCCTATTAAAATATCCATAGGAACAAGGGGGAAAAAAAAATGCCTGGAAGACAAACATGGAAAAAACCTGAACACTTTCATTCATTTCTTCACTCTTCTTCAGCAGCCAATTGTGAATTTTTCCTTGCATATCACAGGGATACAGATTATCCCAGAACTTTTAAGTTCACCAGGTGGTTTATTTGATGTGCAAAACGGTAATTTTGAGGATAAAAACAAGAAATGAAAAATCTTTTCCAATGCCAACCATAAACCCTTCCCACTACTAATTGTTTTTATACTTTTTTGGAAACAAACCATTCAGGTTACACATATGCTCTCACCAAACTCCTTGGCACAGCTCTGGCAGCCTAGACCACATGTCTGAGGTGAAAACCTGCAGCAAACAGCAGCGCTTGGTTTATGTTCTTTTTCTGTTAGTTTCCAACACCAAGTTTGTTTTTTCCACTGCTAGACATACAGTCAGACCCCCAGTCAGAAGTGCAGAGTAAGTCCTGCATCGACCACTGCTCGAGATTTTTCTCCTTCTTCATTATTCACCTCGTGTTCCACGATACCATTTCCAATTCTAATTTCTTACAGCTGAAAGCGAAATATCAAAACCAGCTACAAAAATGGACTTGGGTGTCTTCAGGAAAAGATACGCTGAAGAAAAATTATCATGGTAGGGTAGTGAAGGAGCCATACCAACCACAATTTTTTGCCTAAAAACCCCCAGATCTTTTGAGACCAGAGGGATAAGATCAGTGTCTCTTGATATAGGACATATGGCCTTCAATTATTCTTGATTTTTGGTTCAGAGAGCACCTGATTTTGAAGACAAGGAATGTTCTATATGTATAGGACCAGTCAGGTTCATCCACTACAGGCAAAACTAGAAAATAATAAAAAACAAAACGAAGCACATGAGACTTGTGCTCAATATAGGGAATACTGAGCGAAAAGCAAGTGACAAGTAGGAGGTTAAAAGCAGGAGACATAGTTGAGAAATACAACTATGTAATCATCTGCTCTGAGGAGAGAAAGAAATGGTAATTCCTAGCAACTACCCTTGGACACTCTACTAGACAGAATCTATCCATCTTGAGTTTTAAAATTTCTGGTAACATCAAACAGGCCAAGATCAGGGCTTTCTTGTGCTTAAGCGATTAAAAACAGGAAGCATCTTTGACCCAAGTAATTTCAAACGCTTCACAGGAAAGCACAAAAATGGGTTACGAAGACATTATGTGAATCTGTAAAGCATTTTTTGCAGCCCTCTCAACATATGACTCTTACTTTAAAAACAACACAAAAGCAAAGAGAAAAAAAAAGGCAACTCTGTGATCCAGTAGGATATTCATAACTCAGGCAACTCAACAAAAAAGTACAAGAGGTTAATCTCTCTTCACACAGTGAACTGATAAAAACCAAAAAGTGTTACTTGTGTCAGTTATGCCATAAAATAGGTTACGGTCCTATGACAGAGTGGTAACACCACAGTTGTAATTAGCATTGACTGACAACTCTGGCCCGAGCTCAAGAGATGTAAAAGTTAAATGAGCAAAACACATCAACTCCTTGCCATCCGCACTCGGATCTCCATAAGGAATATTAGTAGGACACGGTGGGGGAAACCCAGAAGACACCTAACCAGAGTCACAAAGACCGTGGCATTTCATTTTCAGCAGGCCTGGTGCTCATGAGCAAAATTAGCCAGGTGACAGTAACTCTACAGAAAAAAATATACAGATTCAGATTTACAGGGACACAGACATAAGAAACCAATTAATTTTTTTGTAAATTTGATCAGACCTATGAATATGTTTGCTGCGTGATTAAATCAAATATAAACAAGTGAAACAGTTCTTTCAAACCATTTTACTTATACACGTATGTATTTAGCAAACTTGTATTCGTCGAGAACTCATCTAAGAAATTCAAGAGTGAACAGATTTTATAAGATTTGCAGCTTTCACTAGACAGTATCCTCCCACAAAGTGAGGCGTACAGTTCAGAGCACAACCAGGAGGCAAAGAAGTTCATGAGCTAAGACTAACGGGAGCGAGGACAGGTCCTTGCATTGGCCGCAGCACCTCAGAACTCAGCTCCACCGCAGCTGTCCGGACACGTGTCTCGGGACCTGCTGGGCACTCCTGACTATGGCGATACTGCCAAGGAAAGTCTCACCAGTTACCTGCTCTAGTAACCCCCTTGACCTCTCGACCCAAATATCTGAAAGACATCAGGAATGAAACACATAAGGAGCAAGCAAAAATATCACTGGCTTTCCAATCATAAGCCAAATGTAGAAATTAATTCTGCTACGTGAAACTGTAAAGTAATTATCTGTATATTCAGAGGAAATATATAGTGAAGTTAATGCAGAGAGCTGCCATCTGAGCTCAGCTTGTGTAGGCACTGCCTGCCTGACGCCTGTATGTACCTACGCACCACTAGAAAATTTTTCTTTCAAAAGAAAGTGAAGTTATTGGTATTTTCTCGGATGTTTGTCCTTTTTATTTCACTACAGGTTCAAAAATCTCTTTGGGCATGTTTCTTCCTTTTCCTGAAATATTCCAAACAGTTTTTTGGTTTCTTTTTTTGCTTTTTGCTCTCTCAGTTTTTATTTACTTACACCTTCTAATTCTTCAAAAATTTCTCATTCTTCAGTGTTTCCTTCATTTTTATCTTTTGCTTATTCCTCATCAACTCTTTAATTTCTACTGAGAGAAAGATTAGTACACCAGAGTGTCCTGCACCTCAGTCCTCCCCATGACCTCCTGGGAGTAAAACGATACTTCTCTCTGTATCTCCTACAGAGAAATCCCTGTTTTCTAGTGGGTATGTGCTATACATCTGATCAACCCATTCTTACCATCTGCTACATAAAGATTTAAAAAATACTCCATTTGCCCACAAACTCTACTCATGCCCTAATTATTACATAGAATATATTAATTTCATAAATATTTAAATGTTTGTTTCTTGGTTATAAAATTACTAATACTTTTCCTTCTCTTCCTCCTCCCTCTGCCTCCTGTTAAATCAGCTGTAATCAAATTTAGAAGTGGGAAATACAACTCTGCCACATATGGGAAAGTATTTATACATACTATTTCCATAATAAATTCATGTAGGTTTTCAGGCAGAAGTAGCTTTTCCTGACTTTCTACATCAAACCTTAATACCTATTCACCGCAAGATAAGAAAATGTTATTACGCCATAACTAGCTCAAGCACCAACATATACTTATGCCAGTAGATACAATCTGAGCATTAACAAAACAGGTCATTACCCTATTTATTAAAAATTTATGACGTGTCCACTCCTGTACCAAATGCAAAACATGCAAGCAAAAGAACTGCAATAAAAAGGAGGAAGAACATAAAAATTTAAGTTCTTGATAGAAAAACAAGCAAATGTTAAATGTGATCTATCACTTTATCCATTCCTCCTTTTTAATTCTAGAAAGGAAATAACATATTGAAATTATTTGCACAATGAGCAGTTATGAATTTGATCTTACAGTGAAGACTACGAGGTTGATGTAAAGTCTCAAACACATAAAAATTGAGATGGATGAAATAATTACGCTAACAGATTGCCTGAAGTTTGAGGATCTGCAATACTTTCTGCAAGGACATGAAACATACTTTTTTCCTCTAAATTATGTTCTTTTCACTTGGCAAGAACATATGCCCACTGCCTCTCCTTAAATTTTCCTTATCTATTACTAGGAAACTGAAACTAAAACAATTTTATTTATCAACCACGGGCAATGCTGCTTTCTGGAACACCAGTCAAACTGAAAACAGTCAAACTGAAAACATTGCAGAAGCTGACAGTACAAGGCAAATATATTCAAATCTTTTAAAAACTACCCAAAGTAACAAGCATTTTAATTTTATTTAACCATAAATAGCACCATCATTTTATCATTATTATAGGGGAGAATGTGTTCTGAGTGGTCACTGCTCTGAGTTGGGAAGCTCAGGTTCAATCCCTGCTGTACAAACTCAAGTGTTGTGGGACCCTTGTTGCCTGCCTCTCTGCTTCTACCACCACAATTTGTACGTCTTTCTGAGGAGTTTGCCATCTTAAACTCTTTTCATAAAGGCACTCCAACCTCAATTGTATCTCTAGACATAACTGAAGGAAGACAAATTCTAGTATTAATATTAGTTACACCTACAGAATCAGGCTGGAGCCTGACAACTATGCACATGCAGCCAAAAAAAAAAAGTTTGTTGTGATGCAACACAGCCAGTTTACATTTCAAATCTGGAGATCACTCTCCAAGTAAAATACAAACATTGCTAAAACTGAAACATTTTAAGACAAAACACAAGATACATAAACAAGGAAGAGGGAAAAGATAAGGCCACGAGCTGAGCTAAGCCCTGGAACTAGGCTTCAACTGAAGATTTTCTTTATATTCCCTTTAACTAATACCTGTACCTCAGTTCCACGCTTTTAAAAAAATACTTAAGCTCCTACTAGTTACTATTTTCTACTCGCTGCAAATTGCCCTTAGGAGTTAGCACCTCTGCTTTATTTTTAAGCTAAGCATTACCTAAAGCTCAGGCCTAAGTACCTGAGCACAGCTGCACACAGCTGGCAGACACTTGGTCCATTCCAGTATGTGGGAGCACCCACTTCCCAGCAACACCGCGCCCTTGCCAGCTGAAGCTCCATGTTTAGTTCTCCTCCTCCCAGACAGGCAGATGCATAAAAACGTTAAGGAGTTGCTCATACGTTCATCAAATACAAATTAATTATAGGAGATAAGACAATTTAAACAAAGCTTAGTTTTCTGCTTTTGCAGCCAGAGAGCGTTAGCACATCCAAACCAGGAAAGTAAAAGAAGACTTCAGGCACGTGGTAGATGCACACCCCGTTCTCTGCTCTTCAGAAAACAGTTTGACCATTCAAAAACCACCCAAAACAAGCCACAAGCACAGTCACAATGCAGCGACTTACCTGGGTTGGAACGAGTACTGGAGGATACGCTAGCTTGTGATGTCTGTACATCCAAAATGAAAAGAGCACAATCACTGCGATTCCCATTATAGGCACCAATGAATAAAGCAACGTGTTGAACAGAGGTGGCTTAGGTGTGACAGGATTGGAAGTTGCTAAAGGAATAAATAAAAAGGACATAGCTTTTAAGAAACATCTAGCATCCTAATTTTTCAAAAACTCCTGCAACCAGCACAACAGGCTGGCAATAACTGATTAAATAGCATACTCTCATATAAGCGGATACATAATTTAAAAGGTAGCATTTTGGAAAGCACAGAAGTAACTTAGATCCCTGGATTTATGCATCAGCACATCTAACTGTTTTGTGCTTTCAAGCTCCACCTATCTACAATGTGTAAGAGAACTCCGTATTTTGAAAAGATTGCCAGAACACCATCATCTAATGAATGAAAAAAAAAGAATCAATACAGGGGTTTAGTCTCTGTAAAGCAATACAATAAGATGGCAGTAATAAGCAGAACAGGCCAGAAGTAACGTGCCAAGGTTTCTATGCATTGCTGACTCGCTGAAAAAAGTAAAGGTTCTCCAAGCTGAAGACACTTCAAAAGGTTCCAAAGAAGCCCAGCCTCTGAGGCAGTTGGTCCGGGGGCAGTCACAGAGCCCTGGGGCAAAAGAGGTTTCATGAGAGTGAAGAAGAATGCCAGTTATTGCCTTAGCAGTATCACTGACAAAAATGACAAGGGTAGCTCTCTTGGCTCAACAAAGGCTATTTTAATCTCATAGAAAATGTTATTTAATTTCAAGAGAAACTTCCTCTGGCCATTTGGTACATGAGACATTTGCTGTTTTCAGTTCAGTTATTAACATTATTCAGCTTTCCAACAAAGATTAGATTCTTGACTGGAAGAAGATATGCAAGAATAATCAAATAATCTTTTAGTTATTGTTTTTTAACACAATTATTTGCTAAGGCTGGCTAGTTGATTTTCTCTGTAACCCGGGAGGCAATTCCTCCCCCGTTTTTAAAAGGTTACTGTGTCAATTTACAGAGAAACTCAAAGGTTCAATTAGTTTAAAGAAATAGCGAAAGTGCTGTTTCAAGAAGAGGAGCATTCACAGGACAGTACGTGCAGGAAAGGCTGATACGGCTTTTAGCCTGATGACTTAGAGACCCTTACAGAAGCTTAACTGTACGATTAAGGTAAGATTTGACAGTAACTTCTGAATCTTAAAACAGCCAATTATTTCAGATTATCCTTACTTCTCACCCTCGCAAAAGGTCTGAAGTATCTTTTATCGATTTAAATTGCTTCTGTGCGGAGACCTGGCACAACTGAAGACACAAACTGGCAATTTTCTAGGCTTTTTCTGTGAACACACACGGCGCTCTGTCATCTGGGAATCGAAAACCTTCCGGCAGGAAACACTGACCACAATATTTTGAAAAGTCTTATCTCCTGAACATGCACAATATTTAATATTTCTGAACTCTGCTAAGCAGTTTCTTTGTAAACGCGTTCAGACTAACTTACGTTGCGTGACTTCCATTTCTGGAAAATAGAAAAAGCGTTCATTGCACATGTTGCCCTCACAACAACAGAAAAACACTTCAGGGCTGTCCTTCTTCTCTATGCAATCATTCCTAGGAAAGATAATAATAAAAAATTATCAATCTTAAGTGCTTTGTTTGTTTTTTTCCTGTTCATGAGGAAACATATGCCCATATTTAAAATTTCAAGTGCATTAAACCATCCAGGATAACATACTAACCAAATAAGAAACAAGATTTTGGGGTTTTATATTGCAATGAGATATCATTAAAACCAAGGCAGCATATTTTTGCTATTTTTAAGACAAAGAAAACCACCAAAAGGATACTGAAGAACAGTTCAGGATGTAGAAAATAAATAGGACAAACAAATGATCAAATAGTTAGTTTTTAACCATAAGCTGACAGCATAGGGTTGCATGGATTGGATATAAGTGGGAAGGAGAATTTTAAAATATTTTATTTTAGTTTTAATAAAAAAATATAAAGAATTTCTACAGGAAAGGATCAAATAAGCTGAAATGAATAAGCTGAAACTACTCAAGTCAGGTAAAAAAACCCCAGGTGTCATGCAGAAGACAATGTGACAGCAGAAAGAGAAGAACTCGTAAACAATGACGAAATCATTGAGCATTTTAAATACAGCTGAGGACTGTCAAAGAAGCTTTGGGTTCATCTTCAAAAATCAGAGTTATTTTATAGAACCAGCTATTAGAGTTACACTGCACTGTGACTTCCATAAAACTTCTATTCTTTGATGTTCTTAATCTGCTGGTTTTTGGAGTTCATCATACTGGAACTCCCTGTTCAGTAAAACACTCTTCATTCCCAGAGATAAGATTTTCCTTAATGGATATTTTAGACAAACACACCAGCACGCACTCTTATGCCAAGTTACAGTTAATGAGGTCTTAAAGCCAGACAAATCTTTATTCAGCTTTCAACTATTTCCTTACTGTCCTTTCTGCATTTTATTTTTTTCTTTGCTCAAGGGAGAACTTAACACCAAACTTTTTTTAGACTGGTCAAAAGATACATGTGGACCCACTGGGATAACAATTCTAGGATAGAAGCAGAACTAGGATCTGTAGAGGTTTAACACTTATTAGAAACAAACTTAGTTCAGAAATTGTAGGTACCTCCATTTCTTCTGCAAAGCTACAACTATAAGCGGATTAAAAATAACAACAAAACAAACAAAAACACCTTCCCAACCCGAGTGACTTACAGTTACCAGATACTAGTAGCATCAAATAACATTTCTCTAAATTGTCCTTCGCCTTCCAGCACAGCTGAATTTTAGTCATGCTGAGCAGGGAAGGTTGCAGACGCTTTGCTGCTTCTCTGAGGAACAGATAAATCAGAACTATTGTTCAACTTCGCTTTAAAGTGTCATTCAAAGGAGAAAAAAACATCGTAGTGTGGGGGGCAACTTTCTTTGGTACAAATGACTATAATGACTTCTGCTCACTCAACATTTCAGCAACACAGAAAAAAATTCTAAAATATTGCTAAAAATAATTTCTTTGTATGTTTTTATGTATTTGTTTTCTTATCTCTCTACCTTTCCAAACAATAATGCTTTGGTCAACTAAAACTGTACTTCAAAAAAACTGTAATACCATTTCTTAGGAGAGTCACGACCTTTGTTCAGCCAATATCTAGCAAACCCCAAGTCCTGCTGTTACTGCTCACGGGTACTTGCTAGACCATCTGTTATTTAAAAAAACCCACAACCTGGAATCTTAGAATATTCAGTGCCTCTTAGAGCTGCCACCGAGGTGAGTCTTCTAATAAATCAGCAAAGTACTCCCACTTCTAGGTGAAAAGCAGAAGCAGAGTTCTGACTTTCCTACTCCAAAGACTTTGGAAAAGTGAACTATAAAATTTTACATTCTGATTTCATTAATTATATTTACATTGTTTGGCCGTAACAACTCATTAGCAAAATCTATTATTAACAGCCTAAAAGAGATTAAATACCTGTTTTTTAATAGATAATAAGTAAATAAGAGAAGGTAAAACATGCTATTCTGCAAACAAGACAAAGTACTTAGATGAAGTCACATCTCTAAATATAGGTAAAAAGGAAGGGGGGGTAAAAAAAAGCATGTGTGTGCATGTAAAAACAAGATTACTATTCCAAGACTACTGTATTATTATCATTTGTCTCAAGTAATGTTTGCTGAAGGGGGAATGTATAAAAATTATAAATGGGCAAAATAGTTTAAAATTGCAAATAAAATTCATACGAAAACTCACTTACCTGTCATAACAATTGATGTCATCTAGCCAGCAACCTTGCTTCACAATTTCAATTGATCCAGAAATATTCTTCCATGTAGCAAAACAGTGTCGCCTTTTATCTTTATCACCATAACAAGGTTCGATACCACTGCGATTTGTTTTATCTTTTTCCCAATTAGCGTTGTAGTAGATACACTCTTGTGTTTCTGATCTGCCAAGTATGGCACCTTTTAGGAGTGAAAAGTAAATCACAATTAAACAGCATTCTGGAGGATGAGACATACAGTCAAAACGAGGATGTACTGAAATATCATGCATTGTCTGCATCAATATGCCCTCTCCCCTCCATTTTTTAATAAAGGAATTATTTAAAGTTCACAAGCATTCCAAGTAAACGTTGAAACATAAAACAAAGATCTTAAGTCAAACAGTCACTTGGACGACTTACCGAGATTTGAAGAAATAAAGAACAAGTTATGGCAATACCTTTCCCTGAACAGCAGCAGAACAGATTTTAAATATGAAACAGTGAAGATTTAGTTATACTATTAGCCGAAAAAGAAGCCTGAGCTAACAGAATTTACCAAAAAGGCATTTTGCTTCTTGTTACATGTGCCAGAAGAGCAGTTAGTACATCTTAGAAACCTAAACCCACCTAATAAATTCAGTTTTAAACCATCAACCTCTCTTCCCCTAGCTTTCATCTGCGATACACTTCAGCGCTTTTGTGTTAAGAAGCTACGAGACACACGATGCTAAAATAGTATCTTGTATGTCACCCTGATTTGCCAAGCGAGCAACTGGAATCGGGACCGAGAGGTGTGAGGCAACAGTCCCTAATCTCCGAGGACAGTGCTGGTTTTTTCACTGGGTGGTCCCCCCCGGTCAATCAGCTGCACCACAAAAGACGTTAAATCTCTGGCATAACTCGATAACCGAGCTCCAGAAAGGCCCAGGATCGAAGTTCTCAATTTTGAACTCGGTTTTTGTCTTTTAAATTACAAATGTAATTGACGCCCTGATGCCTACAAACAACCGACAGCAAAACCCAACAACTATTAACAGAGGCACCTCACGTGGAGCCCACTTCACAGTTTCAAGGTGATGCGAAGCACCAGTCTGCTTTCTGCAAAGCTAAAGGGTTGTTAGGACATAAAACTGCTAATAAAAATACAGGAAGGGAAGAAGAACTGCCTTTTACTTCTGTTTTTATCTTGTCAAATATTGCCAAGAGTGTTTTGTTACTCTTTATGCAAGCTTCGTCTCTTAATATGGTAAAAACACGACAAAACAGAGAGGGGGGTCGAAGAGCTAGAGTCAGAGGACTCACTTCAAAAAACTGAGGAAGGGTCCAGACAAAAAAAAAAAAAAAAAAAAAAAAAATAATAAAAAAATCACGTTTACTTTGCCTGTGCACCCATCTGGTATTTTCCAGAGGGACAGGTACCTTAGAAATCGTGTTGACGATCTGACTTCAACAGGAAAGGTCTTCCACGGCAGAGTGTTTCATATACATTTCTTTGTATCGCTCATTGCCACCCTCACGCACGTATAGTTGCAATAATTTTGATAGCGCAGCTACTGCCTTGTAGCCATACTCATACTTCTCCTACACAAGGCTATAACAAGCAGAGCAGCTACCGTCCGGACTTCTTTTGTTGGATAAAAATCTTCATCACCCAAGCCCTCTACCCAACAGTGGCAGAGGTGGGGGTCAGGGTGACTGGTATGCTGGTGGAAGCTTCCATCATGTAACACCTCCTCCAACACACAAAACCAACAGTAAGGTGATTTTTGTTGGTAAACAGAGAGGAACAAGAAAAGCTGCACCTCTCAGGGCAATTCAAATTATTTCAAACAGAAAAATCACTGCAGCCCTCTTGCACAGGACGAGTGGAGAGCAGCACCGACCATGCTGGGCATCCCACAGTAACCACCTTCAGAAACTTCTGACTTTGACGCATTCCCAAAATAGGCCGAGGACACTGCTTACGCTTTTTGGGAAAGAGCCTGGATGTTCAATGGGAGAAAGGCACTAGCCAGCTGGTAACACTGCGAGATGCAGCATGTTAACTATTATATTCTTTGTGCTGCGTTGGCCTGACCTTTACAACTCCCAGTTATGGCAAAAAACAGATGAGACAACAGATTGAACAATTTGGTTCTGTCAGTGCAATAAAGCAGAAGTCCTGGATTTCTCTCGTACGTGCCATTCCTTTTCTTCTGCTGCCAAGTCTAGCTTTGAAGGACCCTAGGCAAACCAAATTGGATGAAATTCGGAAACTACCATAGAATTAACTTCGCACAATTATTCTCCTTATACATATCTACTCTGTGGTCAGGTTTCCTTACTCACTAATATGCTCAGAAACAGAAGACAGTTCAGCCTACTCACCTGGCCAGTTAGTGACTCTAGATCTGAGCGGAGCATCTGACCTTAGTACCTTCTCTTGGGGCTGAGCAGACATTCCCAATAGGTCTGGTCAAACATACCAGGACAATCTCAGACTAATCTTTCCAAGCAGAAATGCATGGTGGAAGCAAGAGGAGAAGAGGAACCACACGAAGGCGGTAGCGCTGAGCCTGCTGCACGACGGCAACATCTGCTGAGAACCAGCTCTGCCTCCCGCTCCCCAGGGATCAAACTCCTAGAGAAGGGCAGCTGGCAATTACAACAAAAGTTAATTTATTTGGGTCCCAGTTTAGGCATCGTATGTCTATAATCAAACTCCTACACCCAATTTTGAGTGCTGACAATTTGTTTTCACGTCAAACTGGCAGGTCCTCAGGAAACCTACTCCTGAATCTCCAAAGGCAAAACGCTGCTGTGGAAAGCAGCCGTGAGCAAAGCACCAGGAGTATCCTACAGATTGAAGTTTGAAAGCTTCCAAGAGAAAGGCACACTACAAGAGTAAATAATATTCAAGTATGTAATAAGAGTTTAGTTTGGCATGTTAAGACAGATCACGTTTAATAGATGCTGTTATCATATTGCAGTTAGCGTGCTGCTGTACCACTATACATTCGTGTTCAGCCACAACAGCTGCAGCAGGAAAAGAAAACCAGCATTTGCTAGTGAACTTCTGAACTGTTAATACAGGATACACTGTAATTGTTAGCAGTACAGAGAGCAGTTTTATTAGGGTGCACATGTGCAGTCTGGAAAACCTCACCTTCGTAGGAATTTGAAGGACTGGCTACCGTTTTTTCAAGCAGAAAGACTATATGAATGCCTGAAAAGAAAAGAAAAAGCTAGCAAGTTGGGGGTTTTTAATTGAAAAAAAGGGGCAAACAATGAAATTTATGCAGAGCTAGTAAGCAAGACTATATAGCACAGCCCTAATTTAGAAAGGGATTACTGGAAGAAGATACTGGACGAAATATGAATTCCCTATTACAGATACCACTACATACTACCCGGAGGAGGGAGATATAAACTTCTGGGATTTTACCATCTAGTTTTATTTAATAAACCTGAAACTGAGCAACACAACCATATTGGTCTGTAAAGTAGGAACGGTTGCATGACATTTTCGATAAGAAATCTGAAAGGCGATCACGAAAGGGTGACGTTCGGTGTGGCAGCTACCTATCTGCATAGTGAAAAGGTGACTTAAACTGTATTTTATGCTCAAGATTAATTTGAACTCATTCCGAGCAGTGCGACCTGTCAACGTATAAGGAATGGAGAAGTTTATTAGAACAAACTAGTTGAGCTGAAGCCCCACAGAAACTGCACGAGATGAGTTACTTCACAGACAGAACAGCCCATTCACTCGCTTTAAGATTTCAACTGCAATGTGCTGTTCTAGAGGAGCAAAAATGGACAGAAAATGCAGCATAAATAAAACTAGCATCCTGAAAAAAAACCTCAGCTACTGTGTATGTGCGTTTTTCAAGTACGTGTCCATATATGTTATTCTATTTGTTTCCACTGTGATCTCCTATACGCTTGCTAGGCCCACAAACACATCTAAGAACAGACTACAAGTAGACATACATTAAAAGGCCTAGATGTGATATTCCTGCAAGCAGGAAGCAGGTTTTTATCATCCTGTATTTCTTCTGATAACACCCAGGGGAGTGTTTCCCAAAGGAAAAAATAAAGAGGTTATTTTCAACCTTAGCAAGCAAACGGAGTTACAACAGAGAGGACCTATTCTGTCCTCCTTACATGTACCAGTATGTCCCCCAAACATATTTTATTGATTTTTAGACTAATATTAGTCCTATTACCATTGTTCTCAATGCTTGCAGGTCAAACAAGGACTGTACTTCACATAAACTGAGCTAAAGTACATTCATTAAGTCCAAACACAACAGCAATTAACTTAAGCAATGCAAGGAGGAGGAAAGATAAACAAGACAGTGAAGTAACAGATCACCTGAACTGTTGTCACAGTGCCTATCTTTTCAGACTAGTTTCTGATTATCCTTCTTTTCAGCGTGTTCCACCAAGCCTCCATTGCAGTTTTTCATAAAGTCATTGGGAAAGACCAGAGAAATGCCACCAAAGTTCTGTGCAGAAGGCTGTGAGACTTAACAGCTTTTAAAGAGGCTTTAAGATTGATCTGATGTTCTATAAAACACTTGTTTCTTTTCCTAAAATATAAAACCAAATGAGTTTGCAACTAAGCATGGATCCTACAGCAAAATTTAGAAGTTTTAGGGTAGCTTCTTTGTAACAGTATTGTTCAATTCCCCAAGATCGTAGTTTGATTGAGGTGTGTCTACATGTGGGATTATCAGTAAACCTATATTTGCTCAGAAATTTCGTCATCTGCATCCAAAATATTTCAATTTCTTTGCAGTTCACACCTCGCCAAAATTGGACAGACGCATTTGCCATGGAAGTATGAAGTGCTCTAGCTGAGATGAACATTTCTGAAAAGTGCACAGGTTCCAAAACGTAGTGGAAATTATGGAGAATAATGTCATCTACAGATAAGTACAACTGAGAAAGGGAGGGAAGATAATAATATCACTCCACTACTAAACTGTTAAAAGCTCCTTGAAACCCCTTGTTTGCTAGAGACACAGCAACGAGAAAACAAACACTTTTCTCCTAGAAACGTGTCTTCTGGATTTACAGGTATCAATACGGAAAATAGTTTTGTTTATAAAGTCAACTGCTACAACCACTTGGTGTTGCGATTTTATATGTATATATACACACATACATATAGAAAAGTCTTGATTTTTTAAGAAGTGAGTGTGAATACAGATTCTAGCACAGCATAGACAATATATCAAACCACTCCTCTGCTTCTGATGTTAGGCAACTCGAAAAACTGTTAGCTATCTCACTCCCGGATCTAAGAGACTTTCTAAAAAGAATTGGGCAACATATATATTTTACATTGGAAACAAGTGACCGGACAGCACACATGGTATTTGCTGCTCCCCGACACAGATCCAAAGGCTGGTGCTCTGGTAATGAAAGGTGGAGTTTGACCTTTCATAAGTTTTTTTTCCAGCATTAAACAGCCAGTACTAAACAGTCTTCCTGAGGTAAGCTACAGAACTAACATTTTTAAAGAACTCAGTCCTCTGCTTGAGTAGATTACTGTTTCTCTTTGATGTGTAAGCAATGGGCCAAAACGCTATGATATTCCTAATCTCATCAACATTTTTACAGTTAAGTTCCACTTAATATTTAAAGGCACTGCAATCCTGTAGTTTTAGTAAGAAAGACTGGGCAGACTTGGGTATCGTGCAACTTGCGCAATTTTTTTAATAGAAACTCCCCTTCAGGCTACAAAGCACTGTCCACACATGACCTACACCGCAGAGTTAAGATGCAATCATGAAAGAACTAAGATTTTTGAACGCATGGAAGAGAAAATCTGATGAACATCCAAGTTAGAAGAAACTCTCTACCTGCAAATCCCTACGCAAAAGTGGCCACTTGACCTTTCAAAGTTCAAGTTTCAGTAATTAGCCACATTGAAGAAACGCATGCACCTATAAAACTGTGAACTCAATTCTGATTACCTCTCCAGAATACTTAAGAGAGTCTATTAAACTTTTCATTAATTTTAAGAATGAGCTACAGTATTCAGAGATCTGCATTTTTAGAAATGTTAGTGGCAGAACTACTTGAAAGCATCTTTAAAGGGTAAGGTCACACAATTCCAGGACAAGGACGCAAGTGAAGATGAGGAATCTCATCGTTCAATTATCAGTTTGAGAGATTCCATGGTACCATCCAAAGGAACATCTACATCTGAGTAATTAACGAAGATGGAATTAAGGGGAAACTGTGATAGGTGGAACACTGAGAAACAGGCCACTGCAGGAGGCATAATACCAGCATCTCAGCGAACTCTTGCTCAAGGAGGAAAACAAAACAAAAAAGATGAAATTACTCTTGCAGCATGTGTTCCTCCCCACAGCTCCTCCAAGCAGTTTATTTATTGTTAGAAGAAATTAATAATATCATAATAGGACTTTATAGAAAACTTCCATTTTCTGCCTTGTACTTCCAAGTATCTTATTTAAGAATGGATTTAAGAAAGTCAGGGGAAAAACCCAAGACCTCTGGTGTCCAAGTTTTCCAAAATCATTTCAGAGCAAAGCACGTGGCAGAAAATGGAGAAAAAGGGTCAGGCAGCATCCATGTTCTTTAGGTAGAAATTAAGGTGCCAATAATGGCACACCTGATATCAGCTGGCTGTGTCTGAAATAAAGATTGTCATCCTCTGGGAATCTCTAGAAATTCAAGTTCAGATAAATGCTATTTTTCACACTTCTTGACTTCAAGGGAGCACACTAAAACACAGGCTGATGTTTTCAAGTTCAAACATGCCATTCCTGTCACTGCAAGGTGTGAGCAGCACAAAACTGAAGAATTTTTTCATCTGCTGTCTAATGATTTTGTAGGGGGGAAAAAAGCTTGAAAGATTCTGTGAATTGTTTAATTTTTCTGAAGCACAGCCTTGGGACTACACTCACCTCATGGTAGTTTTCAGCAACATTACTGGTCAGACATCCCCTCCCCAACAAAGAGAAGGCATTACAAGGTGGTAAAAATCTACCACAAGTAACACAGCACTCCATACTCACCAGAAAAGTTTAATTCCACAGAAT